ACTTTTTCTTCCATGGGCCATCATTTGTTCTCTTCCTCTTTTTCCCAAAGACATTATTAATATTTTGTAAGTCATTAAGCACATCGGTTCCCTTCAACAAAGGCGGAGGAAGCCTAAATTCTGTTTTCCCATTGAAAGACCTTTTGTTGGATCTCCATGGATGATCCATTGGTATAAAAACACGATGATCCATACAACACATTTTTCGACTATGTTTAAGATAGCGAGAATTAGTGCCATAATTACAACAAGGGCAAGCCAACTTCCCTTTTGTACTCCAACCAGATAACATAGCATATGCAGGGAAGTCACTGATTGTCCACAAAAGAGCTGCTCGCATTTGAAAGGTTTGATTTCTTGAAGCATCATATGTTTCCACCCCAGACTCCCACAACACATTTAACTCTTCTATTAATGGTTGTAAATAAATGTCAATGTCATTTCCAGGTGACCGCGGCCCAGGTATAAGCAAAGAAAGCATACAATATTATGACTTCATGCACATCCAAGGAGGCAAATTATACGCCATTAAGATAACGGGCCATGTGCTATGAGATATGCTCATGGTTCGAAATGGATTGAACCCATCACTTGCCAAGCCAAGTCTCAAATTGCGAGAATCTCTTGCAAAATCCGGATGAAAGCTATCAAAGCCTTTCCATGCTTGGGCATCAGCAGGATGCTTAACTTCCCATCTTTAGAACGCTCCTCGTCATGCCACCTTAATGTATCCGTTGTCTTGGAGCACATGAATAGCCTTTTGAGTCTAGGAATTAATGGAAAGTGTCTCAAAGTTTTTGCTGAAACGCGATGAGCTTTTTTAAAACGCTCAACCTCGCTATCTGCTTCAGGATTTTTGATATATCTGGAAGCTCCACAAACATGACAGTATTCATCAGCCTTATGTTCATTCCTAAATAGCATGCAATCATTGGGACATGCACCGATTTTTTCATATTATTGTAGGATAAAGGAATGTTCAACTCGGGCATCGCCTCTTTCAATAACTCTAAAAGAGAAGTGAATGACGCATTGCTCCATCCATGTAGACACTTCAACAAATATAGACGAATTGTGAATGATAATCTAGAGAATCCTTTACAACCAGGATATAGTTCTTGGCTTGCCTCATCAACTAAGTTATAGAATTTATTGGCATCTTCATTTGGACCTTCATAAAGTCCTTCGGCTTGTGCAATATCTCTAAATTGATCATTCAATAACCTATTAATATCATCATACGAGTTAGTTTCGTCACTCATGTCATCATCAACATTCATAGGGATTTCCCGTTCCCCGTGATTAATCCATCTTGTATAACCTTGAACAAATCCATAGCATATTAGATGATCATATATTACATTCCTTTGAGTCCAACGAATATTGCAACACTTTGCACATGGGCATTGAATTTCCTCGCCTTGAGGATCTCCATATAAGTAAGCAAATTCTAAGAAAGATTGTACCCCATCAATATACTCTTTGCTATACCTTAGTAAATCCATCCAATCCTTGGATGGAACATTTGAAACCCTAAAGATCAGAAACTAATATCGAATCAGCAAATATATAATCATTTAAGTATTATATGTGCATTACAAATAAATCCTAAAAGTCATGAGTAAGTTTTCAAATTCATATGTAATGTAAGATGATAAGAATATCTTACCTAGTCATGACACTTATGTTAAGCCAAACCCAACTTCAAATATAGACCTTCCTGAGCGTTGACTTTTGTTCTTGGAGAAAAAAAGTAAAATTAATAGGATCCACACAACAAGAAGATAAATCAACAAGATATTCTTTTGGTAGGGAGATAGGATATTACTCAACTGAATACATAAATCAAGTCACAAAAATTCATGAAAGAATAAGAACAATGAAATCAAAAGAAAAATAGAAAGTGAGCAAACAGTAGTATCAAATTCCTATTTAGCAATATTCATATTTTAGGAAGTGATCAAATGTAGTGTCAAATTCCTTTTTGCCATTATTTTTGTTAACGTCTTCAAAAAAAGCTCAAACAAGAGAACCAACTTGAGTTAATAATCATTATCTCTAAAACTCAATAAGAAAACTTCTATAAATTGCAAATTATATACTATTATGCAGTATACACTTCCTGTATCAATGGTTGGTTATACACACAAGTTTTTATTACAATGGAGAAAGACCATTAACAAAACCGGGAAAGAACATAATGGAGGAGGTTATGGCAATGCGAGAAAAACTGGAGACATCCCTACATCACTGTCAATACAAGAAGGATGAGAGTCCAAACTTACAACATGGACATCGAGACTGTGCAGCCCTCATTGGTGTTTATGTCCAGATACAGAGGTCATCACGGGTACAGTGAAATAAATAGGCAATTACATGTACATGACGGGTAACCAAAAGTTCTGGAACAGAACATTTTTTTGGAATACCAAAACTTTAAGATGGGAATTTGGCAAGGTACTATAGTTTGAAGACAACTGATAAAAGTAGTGAATGCTATTAGCAAGGAAATCCAAATACATCCAACCACTTCAACATAATAAGAATTCGATTCATACAATGGTTTGTCAACTTAAAAGGAATTCAGTACGCTACAGGAGCAAACAACAGGCCAGGACACTGAATTTTGTGTGCGACGCCAACTGTTTTTACTCTATTTTTGGACAACAGAAGCTCTATTACCAAGCTAATTGAGTACATTCAGGAAGATGGAATCTCAACAAAAATAACAAAAAGATGGAAAAACTAAATCTTTGCTACTGTAGCAAAGACCCAAATCTTCCAACAGAAAGCTTAATATTACAGATTTTTGCCTAAATATTTCAATTCGCAGATAGTAATTAGTGCCTAAAAAATTACTGACATGCATGTAAAAAATCTAACAAAAAATTGAGCGGAAGAATAAGAAAACTAAAATTGAAGCAAAAATGGAAAAACTTTCAAAGGAATTCCAAATTCATGGGCAGAAATCGGTGCAAGAAAGGAATCTCAACAAAAACTCAGTTCTTTCTTTCTTGGAATTAGCAAATTAAAGAAAACAGAGATTGGTATATTATCTCTATTTCAAAAAGCTTGAGAACTTACAAGTTTAAAAGAAATAGAAGAGCAGCAATTGAGGGATTAAACGTTCTGTAGGGTTTTCCAAGATAGAAAACTGATTTGCTACTTATTCCTGAAGCAAATATTAGAAATAGAAGCAGCAATTGAGGGTATTGGAGCAATGGTGGCGTGGAAACTGATTTGCTACTTATTCCTGTAGGGTTTTCCAAGTACTATTTTTGCTATGTATTCCTATAGGGTTTCCCAAGTACTATTCGATCTTGGACTTATGAGAATTGGCGGAATTTGTAATTTTGGTGGGAAATATTTTGGGAATTTATTTATAAGGAATTTTTAGGCATTTAGTATGATAATATAGCACTGTCCAAAAACGTTGCAATAGAATTTAAAAGCGTGGCCAAAAGTTTTATATTTAGGCAACACTTAAAAAGTGTTGTCTTTTTAATTAAATGGAACGTTCTATAAGTGTTACCTTAAAACCCGTGGCCAAAGACTCTACTTAAAGGTCACGCCTAAAAAGCGTTCCTACATATACTTTTGGCAACACTTTTTGAGTGTTGCCTAAATTAATATGGTTGTAGGCCTAAAATATTGTAGTGAATAGTTATGTGTTAGTTGCGGCTGATAATCACCTCGTTTACTGGTTTACATGGGCGGATGCACTTTATATTAAGTGGTGTCATCCGACACCGCTTCGCCGGAAAATTTTAAACACACATGTATAATTAATACGCAAATTACTGCATATAAACAGGAATGACACCGCCTGTAAATTATTTATCCATAGCCTAAAGCTTAATCTTGACTCGTAGCCTAACTGTTAAACGACTGACTATCATGTTTGAGATCAAGGTTCGATCCCAATAGGCTCTGAATTTTAATGAATTTTAGAGCTCTTTTTACGTTGCCATATTATGCTATGGAGCTCTTAATCCCTACATCTTTCAGGTGTTACACTTCTGCAATATGAACTTTGAACATCTTTCCCCAACATATTTGTGAAGCCTTCTTGAATGCAGATCAGTAAAAGACTGCTTTCAATTAGTACAAATTACAATTCTTTGTATTTATATTAGTTTCTAACTGACTTTTCTAGACATTAGTTTCTCCAATGGTTAGTTACAATTCTGCTTGCTAGTTTTGGTCTTTCTGTCTCTTCTTGGTTATAGAAAATCTTGTAGGTATTTGTATTGAGGAGTCTTGAGTGGTTTATTGTTTAGATCAATACTAGTAACTAGAATTTGCTTTTTTGCATATTAATGTTGTTTCTAAAAATGGACGTCCTACGGGATCAAACTCCTGATCTCTCCATAGATGAAAAGAAATAGCTAAACCAATAGGCTAAGGCTTGGTTGTGTGAGCTAAAGCGAAATATGAACTAGGATTATTAGTATGAACTATGACAACCAAAACTTCATATAAAATAATAAGTTTGATAGGGTCAAGTATTCTGGAAAGTTGTTACTGTAGTTGGTTTGTGTTGACTATAACTTTCATTAAATCCCTTCCCTAGCCATAACCTCCTTCGCCTCTTCACCAATTCTCTCCCCCTCTTCACCAATGTGTGTGTGTGTGTGTGTGTGTGTGTGTGTGTGTGTATATATATATATGTCACGGCCCAATTCCCAAACCCCGGCCGTGATGGCGCCTCTCGTGAAGAGCAGGCCAGCCGGAACAAACGAAAACACCTCTTTTAATAATTTCTTAGCATTAATAGATCCACAACGCGTATAAGCAGTTATAAAAGCGAGAACAGCGACAATAGCAAAGGAAACCATCACGACACAACCCAAACCGGGGTGTCACAAGTCATGAGCTACTACAGAGTTACTATAAGTCTAAGAAATAGAATATCTGATACAACAGTCTGAAGGAACTGAAATAACATAAAATAGGGGAGTCAAGGGGCTGCGGACGTCAACAGCTACCTCGAAGCTCCAACTCGCTACCTGTCTGTGAAGAATATCAGTGCTCAGGAGCGGACTCTGCTATGCCTGAATCTGCACACATGGTGCAAGGAGTAATGTGAGTACTCCGACCCAGTGAGTAATAATAATAAATAATAACTGAAGGCATGAAAACACATAAGTGCACAAGACAATGCTATATCAGGCAGTAAATCACTTTAAGCAGTAAAACAGTAAAAAAAGTCAAATGAAGTCTCATTTTCTTAAAGACGGGTAAATCAGGTAAAACAGTAAATGAGTAGTGAATAGTAAAACTGCCCCTCGGGCCCAGTATCAATCGCTCAGTACAGTAACAGACCCTCGGGCTCAATCTCAGTCACACAGCATAGTATCAGCCCTCGGGCTCACTCTCAAATCACATGGGTACCCGCACTCACTGTGGGTGTGCAGACTCCGAAGGGGCCCCTTACGGCCCAAGCGCTATATCAACATAAGGCCCGAAAGCCTTCTCACGTCACACTCGAGGCCTGAAAGCCTCCTCACATATCACTCGAGGCCTGAAAGCCTCCTCACAATACACTCGAGGCCTGAAAGCCTCCTCACATCACGCTCAAGGCCTGAAAGCCTCACTCAGTCCAGAACATCATAAGCCCCTCACGGCATCAATAAAACTAGTAGTCGCTCACGCCCAAAACAACAGTAGGAACTATCATTTAAACGCTCGAAGTTCAAGTTAAAGCAGCTGAGTTTGTAAAACAGTATAAATCAACAGGACTGAGTTCAAGTGGTATATCAAAATAGTTGAGGAAAACAGTGATAAAAATCCACGAAGGATTCAAGTAGTCGGTTTATTAAGCCCCAAAATATGGCAATAAGCCCAAATCATGATGATAAAACAAGACAGCTCAGTCAAATACGCTTCGTAAAATATCAAACGGGGCGGACCAAGTCACGATCCCCAGTAGTAAACAACCCCGAGCCCGGGCCCGCTCCTCGAAAATCACGAAATTTGCAAAACCGAGCCCGGGCCGCTTCCTTCGAATTTTCAGAAAATTTTACATCAACGGATTCCTTATTCGCCACGAGTCTATACATACCAAAAACTCCCAAATCCGAGCCAAATACCCCATCAAATCCCACTTTGAAAATACCAAATTTCCAAAGCCCTAGCTTTACCCTCTTTTGATGAATTTCCACAAATTTCTATGTTAATTCTACCATTAAATCATGTATTAAGGTCAAAGGAACTCACCTTCCAATCACACCTAGTCGAAATCCCCTTCAATTTCTGCCAAAATGCTCTCCAAAGGTCGATCAAAAATGGAGGAAATGAAACTTATGCTCGCGGAACCAAATGAGTTTTAAAAACCCTTCTTTGAACAGTCTTTTTCGCATCTGCGCTTACCTTTCCGCATATGCGACTTACCGCTTCTGCGGTTTTCCATCCGCTTCTGCGGAAACTCACTAATACGCCCAGGACCGCTTCTGCGGTCCAATCCCGCTCCTGCGGTGACCACATCTGCGCACAACCCTATCGCTTCTGCGGAAGACCCTTTCACCAACACGACCGCCTTCTGCGGTCAGCAAACGCATTTGCGGAACCGCTCCTGCAGAATTCCCTCGCTTCTGCGGAATTCCTCCACAAAGCCACACTCGCACCTGCGACCAAATTTCGCATCTGCGGAACCGCATATGCAGCCCCTTTTCGCAGATGTGGAAATACAGAATCAAGCAAACCAGCAATTTCACAACTCCAAAATCCATCCGTTGGCTATCCGAAATCACCCCGAGGCCCCCGGGACCTCAACCAAAAGTGTCAATCCATCTTAAAACATCATTCAAACTTGCTCCAATCATCAAAACACACAAAATAACACCAAAACCCTCAAATTAACATCGGATCCAGCCTAAGTTCTTCTAAAACTTCCGAAATAAGCATTTGATCAAAAACCAACCAAAACACCTCGGAATAAACCTGAAAATTTGCACTCACATCCAAAATCTCCTAACGAAGCTGTAGCAAACTCTCCGGAATTCCATTCCGACCCTCGGATCAAAATACTCACTTATCAACCGGAATTCACTAAAATACTAACTTTGCCAATTCAGCCTAATTCTACACCGGAACTCCAAAAATAAATTCCGATCACACTCCTAAGTCACAAATCACCCCCGAAGCTAACTGAATCACCGAAAAATTATAATCCGGGCCCTTTAACTCATAAGTCAATATCCGGTTGACTTTTCCAATTCAAACATTCCTTACAGAGACTAAGTGTCTCATTTCCTTCTAAAAATCAATCCAAATCGACTCATTCACCCAAAAACTCCTATAATGAAACATAAGGAAGCAGAAAATGGGGAAACAGGGCGCGTAACTCACGCGACGACGGGGCCGGATCGTACACTAATATATATATATATATAATATATATATATATTATATATATATATATATATATATATATATATATCCTATAGAATCAGTTATTTGTGCATCTCTTTATCATCCCCTGCTGGTTTATGTCTAATAGTAGAACAAATATAAATTTGTATAATTAGTGAGAAAGTAATCTGCACATTTTAATCCATAGCATTAGATATTATATTTAATAGTTTGGTAAACTGTAATAGCTATAATTTAATTGCCCGATCACACATGACCATGGTTTACGTCATTATACATTGATTTACTATCGACGATACACTTTGCCTTTAAAGATTAAGTTTTGTCCCTTAGAATTTAGGATAATTGTTTGGAGATCGATGACATGTTATTGTCAACTTATTTGATTTCCTATGTTAATTTAGTTCTTTGTATCCTATGTTATTTGATTTCCTATGTAATTTATTATTTGATTTGCACATTAGAGGTGAATTAATGTTAGTTATTCTATAAGACCAAATGCTGGTGTTAAATTAGTTATTAGAATATTCAATGTCTTCTCATTTACTATGTTTCTAAAGTCTTATATCCTAGTATTTGTACTAGTATAGATGAGTTTAACACTTGCTTATATAACGTGGTTAGTTTTGATTAGTGACGTGCTTACATTTTTTATCGCATTTTTTTATAGAAAATAGCAATGGATAAAAGTTGGCTGAATATTAAAAATAAATGTGATAAAAGGTATATTAAAGGAATAGATAACTTTCTTAATTGGGCATTCAGTCAACCAAATGTGAGTATTGTTATCAGATGTCCTTGTAAAGGGTGTAGAAATATACATGTTAAAAATCCAAATAAGAAGACACTTGTTGAGCAATGGGTTTTGGGATAGTTATAAAGTGTGGGACTTGCACGGAGAGGTGTTGGTAAGAGTTGAAAATTCTGATGTGATAAACAATGATGAAGTAGAGGATGCTAATGCTGAAGAAGATGATATTACTGGGATGATTCATGATGCTTATGGATATGCGAATACAGCTGATGCAAATAATC